CTGTCTCTCTCTGTCTGGGGGTGGAGCCACGGGTCGACGTGTCCCGTCTCGACCTGAGGGTTGGACGGATCCTCACTACCCGCCGCCACCCGCTGGCTGAGACCATGTCTGTCCAGGAGGTGGACTTGGGAGAAGATGCTCCCCGGACAGTTGTCAGCAAGCTGGTATGGAAAACACACCTGGAGCAGGTAACTTTATCCTGATAACATCCAGAGTCTGAAAAGAGCCACTTTATTCCCAAAAGATACAGATTTTATTGTTGATCATTCTTGATAGAACAAGTTGACCTTCATTGTCTTATGACCTTAATTACTTTACTCTTTGAATATTGCAACATTAGTTGGACGTTATTCTCTAAATGTGACTTCAGTAAAATTTCAACTGTGTATTATTGCTTTTTATTTTTTGGAAACAAAGAGTGAAATAAAGTGCATGTGTATACTTTCTATATGTATATGTACAGTATACCTTATGCACACATAAAAAAGGTCAATCAGTGACAATATAAGGACATATTATTGTTCTGATGGCTGAATAAAGATGTTGGCTGACTTTTCAACATCACTGGAGCTCATTTAAAAACAAGTAGAAAACAATTTTGTTCTGAGCTTATGACTGTTTCACAAAAACATACAAACAGTTCAAACTACAGTATTCTAAATATTCTAAGTCAAAAACTATTATCTTAACTTTTATTCTCAATTATTACTATAAGTACTACTACTGTTATAACTTTATTCTTAAAATATTAATATTAACTTGTTTATAAATCATTAAACTCAAATATATTAATAATAATAATAACTGGTCTTTTTCCTTCCTGACTTTATTTCTTTCCTTCTTTCTGTCTCTTTCTACAATTACTCAGAACTTTCCTCTATTAAAAGTTATTTAAATTTCCTTGCACCTGTCTCTGCAGCTCCAAGGCAGTCTGGCTGTGCTGCTCTGCAACGTCAAGGCCTGTAGGCTGAGGGGCGTGGTCTCCCAGGCCCGCCTCCTTCGTTGCTCGACCCCCGATGGGGTCATTGAGCTGTTGGCTCCGCCCTCTGGTTCTGCCCCTGGGGACAGAGTGACCTTCCTCAACTACCCTGGTAATGATGGCTACCATGATGAAGTTCTCATGTAAACACTTACTGATTTTATTTTATAGTCTGAAGGAGCACGTCCTCTAAAAAGTAACTCTACTACAGTAAACAGCAAATCCTATGACTTCTCTCTGAACAATAAACCAGTTTCAACTAACAGCTAATAGCAAATGCTGACACTACACTTTGAATTTAAAATGATCACTACAATCTACCGCCCAGTTAGACAGAAAACAGAAGGTAGTTTAATTCATAGATGGTGCTGGAAACTTCAGTGGTTGTGTAGCGATGATCTGTATGGCTAATCTGCAAGTAACTTAAATTATAACCTGATCTGTGGCTGGGGTCAGCTAGGGTTAACTACCAACCCCACTCTATCTCTGTGTGCAGGTGACCCAGACAGAGAGCTGCAGTCCAAGCAGAGGATTTGGGAGCTCCTTCAGCCCGACCTGCAGGTCGACTGCAGGGGCGTAGCCAACTATAGAGGCTGCAGGTTTGAGGTTAAAGGGAAAGGGCTGTGCAGGGCCCCCTCCCTTATCAACTGCATCATCAGATAGGAGTGTGGCCCCAGCTCATAGAACAAGACATGCTGAAGACAGGATGTGCACTGGAGTTCTTTTATTGTGAAATGCCTGCTCTGCTGTAGCTGGATAAAAAACAAAAAGCAGCTGATGTAAATCACTTATCTAGTTAATGGTATAAGTTAGTGCTGTTAGCTAACAACAGAAGAAAACATTTAAATGCATCGCTGTTTTATAATGATTAAAAACAAATGAAACTTTAACCATCTGTTCCTCAGGTGTTCTTTCTTACAAAAGACAATCACTTTTAAGGTCAAAGGTCAAAGTGTTTATTTGTCATATGCACAGTTAGGAAACATGTTTCCCTGTACAATGAAATTCTTACTTTGCCGTCTACACGAACGCCACATTTTAAACCCCCAACTGTCACAATTTCCTCAAAAACCGAACTCCTTATGTCAAAGCTGTCAAAGCTGAACACATGAACACGAACATGAACATTTATTGTTCCAAAGGATGTCATTGTGTCCGACGCCTGTGATGAATAAACATAAATCCTCTTGGAAGTCATCAAAACCAAAGATGGTCAACCATGAAACCTGCCTGAGACTCACCATGTTTTTAAGTTTTCTTCACGGCCGCAGTAACCCAGTGAGAGTTGTCTGTACGTTCATGGGTACACAGCTAACAGGAGCTGCTAACAGCTAATTCAGCTACTATTAATGTTGCTAATTTACCAAAATGTCAGTGGTGGAAGAAGTACTCAGATCCTTCAGTACAACAGTGTAAAAAGACTTTGTTACAAGTAAACGTCTGCATTCACAATGTTACCTAAGTAACAGTTCAAAGGTACTTGTGCAGAATGGCACACAACATTCATGTATATCATATTGTATTATTGTGTGATAAAGGGGGAGCCAGTTTTAACTACCTCATCTGTTTGTGAATGTCCCACCAAGGATCAATAAAGTCTTATAAACATTATGTAATTTTTGTAATAATCTGGTTCTGAAAAGTAGCTAGTAACTAAAGTTATACAATTAATATAATGACGTAAAAAGTACAATGACTGCCTTTAAGAAGTAGTGAAGACCAAGTATGAAGTAGCAGAAAATGAAAATGCTCAAGTAAAGTACAGATACTTCAACCTTGTACTTTAGTACAGTACTTGAGTAAATGTACTTAGTTACTTTTCACCACTGCAACATATTAATAAATCCAGGCACAATGGGGCTCAGTACATATTATTACCTCAACACATCACTTCCTGAACAGGTGACGTTCCTGACACCTGACGTCACAGGTGATGTGACGTTTAAGGGAAGCAGCCTCAGAGCGACGCCTCTGTCTGGACTTTCAGAGCCTGGTGATGGTTCCTGGCTGAGAGGCAGAGCAGTCGTTCCCTCAGAGGGCGTCCTCTGATCAATGGCCAATCACAGCTGTTGTCCAAGAACAAGACTCCACCCCCCACACCCTCAGCCAGAGCTCTAAGCCAATCAGTGGCCTGTGATAGGTAGACAGTAGGGTCAAGCCCCGCCTTCTTCAGCTGGTCCGCATGTGTGAGGATGAGCACGGCGTGACGACGCCACTCTGGACCGAAGACATTCTGAACATGAACGCACTCATTTAGCCATAAAACACGCACAGTCCAAATAGAGTAGTGTACGTTTGTGTGCATGTGTACCTCCAGGTGTTGCTCCAGATGTGGGTTCTCATGTGGCAGATCAGCTCTCACAATGAGCACCAGTATGTGCACGCCCTCAGGGCAGAGCTCATGCACTCTGTGTGGTTGGGCCAGCAAAGGGGGCGTGTCAATCACCCTCAGCGTGAGGTCTGACTCCGCCCCCTGCCGTCTGAAATACCGCGGGTAATTTCGACTGAGGGCCTGGTACTCTGTCGTCATGGAAACACCAAAAATGGAGGGGCCTGTTTGAAATTCGTGCCCACCTGCGAATCGTGCCAGATGATAAAGAAAATATTAGCATGACTTTGCAGAAAGAAGAATGTAATTCATTATACAAGATGACATTTTATAAAGACTTGTGGTCAAAGCTTCTAAATCATGTGACTCCAAACGTCAAAATTTCAACGTAGAAGTACTAACCAATAAGAGCGTTTCCCACAGAGCTCCTCCCACTCTGCCTGTTGCCTAGCAACAGCACGTTCAGGAGGAGCATATTCCCTTCTTCTTCATGGTGTTGACAACTCCACCTGCTGAGGATATCAACAAGCGTGTTGCCATGGTGACAGCGTTTTGTTTCGGGATCCATCTACAGATAAAATGGGATGAATTTATAAATAAAGTTTAATGTTTCACTGTGATGGTGAGTAATGACGTCACATCCTGCACACATCCTTTAACATTGTTAGAATTGGATTTCAGGAGTTGCAGTTGCTTTATTTACTATCAGTATTATTTTGCATTTATAATGATAAAGTTTATTATGACTGTTTATGTTTTATTAGCAATCCCATGTATTAGTATTAACCTTACTATTATACTCGCATAAAAGTTATAATTTTCAGCTGAAGTTCAACTTGTAGTGTCACTTATTTTCTAAAATGGTTGTGCAAGCGCAGATTGCATTAGATAAGTGTCATGTCAGCTATAAAATAAGACCCTGTTAACGTATGCTATTTTACAGATGTGGAAGTATGGCAACTTGAACTTTTCACCCATGTCTGAACTATGTGTAAGGGGTTTTTTCTGTCACAGAATTGAGGAAGTAAGGGGCACACAGCTACTGCATGTCCATCTTTAGAAAAAACGCCTGAACACAGAAGATAACAACACACACACATATTGCCTATATGAACATACTAGAATATTGACGTATATTGTACCACCCATGTACAGGGCAGTCCCAGCCCGAGAAGATAAATGTAAACGTTTGGTGATGATCGATGCTCTTGGAGACTTGCCATCTCTCAG